AGTACTACATGTAGTTATTAGCCTCGCCTATGTAAGGTATAGGTAGTTGTTTTGTCTGTCTGTCATTCATACTGTACAACTGAATTTTGTTATTAAAAAACATACCTTTAACACCACCTGTTCCCAACTCATAGATCTTTCTCAATAACTTGGAAAATATTGCTTTAAATCTTGTTTTTAAAATTATGCATTGACTCTTCTATTAATTTTACTTCTTTTCACATTATTTATGAGCGTATTAACAATAATTATTGTTATTATTAGTTTTGTGATGTACATATTTAGGTATTGATATGTCCCGAGAGGCTGATGAGTGTGATGTACTGATTGTTGGTGCAGGGCCAGCTGGTCTATCAGCAGCCATTAGACTCATGCAGTTGAGTGAGGAGAGTGGAGAGGAGATAAGAGTTTGTGTTGTTGATAAAGCTCCTGAGGTAGGAGCCCACACATTATCAGGTGCTGTCCTTGAGCCAAGAGCTCTTAATGAGCTGTTCCCTGACTGGAAGGACAGAGAAGTAAGTGGAATCATGATTTGTGATTTTGTGTGGTATACATGTACATGTACATGTACATGTACATGTAATTGCGTAAAAAATTTAATAATGACTCCAGGTTGACATAACCATTAGCCAAGCAGATAGATCAGGGATGTTTACCACCCATACCTAATTGAATTTTATTTATACAGTCATATTATGTCATACAGTCATTATGTTTTACAGTCATACTCCTTTTCCTCTCATTCTTATATTTCCCTCCCCTTCCTTTGTCTTTCTCTTTTATTGTTTACTTTTCTCCTTCCTCCCCCTCTCTCTCCTTTTCTCTCTCTCTCTCTCTCTCTCCCTCCCTCTTCCTCCTTTCTCTCTCTCTCCCTCCCTCTCCCTCCTTTTCTCTCTCTCTCTCTCTCTCTCTCTCTCTCTCTCTCTCTCTCTCTCTCTCTCTCTCTCTCTCTCTCTCTCTCTCTCTCTCTCTCTCTCTCTCTCTCTCTCTCTCTCTCCCTCCCTCTCCCTCCTTTCTCTCTCTCTCTCTCCCTCCCTCTCCCTCCTTTTCTCTCTCTCTCTCTCTCCCTGCCTCTCTCTCTCCTCCTTTCCTCAGGCTCCATTACATACTCCAGTCACATCAGATAGTATGTATTTTCTAACTGAAAAGAGACGGTTCCCCCTGCCTATTATTCCTGGCCTTCCCATGCATAATCATGGTAATTATGTGGTTCGATTGGGTAATTTCGTGAGGTGGTTGGGTGAACAAGCTGAGGCTCTTGGAGTTGAAGTATATCCTGGTATAGCTGCTAGTGAGGTAAGAATATTACTAATATAATTAAATGTTCATGTACATGATGTAATAAATAGTATTAATTAAGGACATTCATTTATCATGCATGTACTGTACATGTACATGTACGCATACATGTACATGTAGTTACATGTGCATGTACATGTACATGTAGTGCTAAAATTATTAGACACATTAGACTTGAAATATTCAGTAAACATGTATGTTGTACATATACATGTAGAGTGTATCTGAATATACAAGTTTTATTATGAGTATATTTAGTGGCTCTGTTTGTTCTGTTTATATCCATGCATCGTACATGTACTGTACATGTGCATGTACGTGTACATGCACATTTACACATGTATGTAAACTAAAGGGGAACAATTAGTTGTTATTGTTATTATTTTCATTGATTGTTTTGCATTTGTTTTGCTTTCAATATGAACATTGTAAATGTACAAACTACATGTACATGTTCTGTCACAAACTACATGTACAAGTACACATGTACATGTATGTCTTATGAAGAGTAGATAGTAATTAGAGAAGAGTGTCCTACTGGCTATATGGTCTGCTCATCACCACGTAGAAATGGAAAGTCACATTCCGGTTATTTCTGTATTTTATTTGAGTAGTTATAGTTATTGCTAATTATTTTCGAATAACTACTAAAAAATACGAAAATAACCAGAATGTGACTCTTCAATTCTATGGCATGATGAAGCAGGGGATATAGTGCACAGTAGGACACTCTCCTCTAATTATTATCTACTCTTGGTCTTATGGAAACTGTGTAGCAATTAGCAAAATA